AATATGTATGCGAATGGCGCTGAATTAATTGAATCGTAATGTAATTTTTTTAAGTTTTTGCTATGCTTGACCAGTGTTGGGGAGCGGTCACCAAACAGCTATCGTTTCTTGAATCTTGCCGGATGGGCGTTAATTGTGCTTGAGTTGCGTTGTTGGTATTTTTTACGTTAGTTACATTTTTATTTATTTTTGTCTTTTTTGTTTTTGGTTTTTAATGCTTGCGCTTCGATAGTAAATTGGTGCAGGTGAGGTTATACAAAAGCGATTGATTTCTTTATTTTTGTTTTTTGTTCTTAGACTGCAGTTGGTGTTTCTATTTTTCTTTGTTTACTAACATTTTTCGCATTTGACATTTAGCTTATATTTTTATGATTTTATTCTTGCATAACACACATGCAGTTCTTTTTGTTTTTAGTATTAGACTGTTCTACTGCAATTTAATTTAATTTATTTTTTTTGTTCCTTTTCTTCTGTACTTATTAAAATATTGGTAAGCTTAACAAATGTAATATAAGCCGCCTTCGATTCGCCACTTCTCTACTCGCTATGTTTGACAACAAGGTTAGCTAGTAGCGATGAACGATGGCGAGTTTGGTTGTACCTCATCGATTTCGTTCGGTTCGCCGCTCGCTAACTGTTGGCGAATCGAAGGCGGCTATATTTTTCTGATATTACTAGGTTGTTAGTTTAAAATGTAGTTCTTTTTTTTAATGTTATACTTTACATAATATGTATGGGGCGGGGCGTTTTCATAGTCAAAATAAAGCCGACACTAAAGTTAGTTGCAACTTTTTGATATAATTTTCAATGGAATATCTGTGAAACAAAAGCTGCAACTAAATATAGAAACGACTTTATTTCGACTAGGAATATGCCGCTATGTTGCAGCTGTTAATTTGTTTGTTTGTTTTTTATTTGCTCTTCCTGTTAGTTGAGTTTTAAGTTTTCCTCAGTATCAGCTTATGCAAACATTGTGCTAGGATTATATAAATTTACATAAAATGGTTTTAGTTTCACAATCTACTGTAGTTTTTTTTTGCTTTTAGTTTTCATTAAGATTTTATTTTTTTCCTTTTTATTATTTCTTCATTTTTACTGGCCATTTATTAGTTTACTTGCTGCTGCTGTGGTGTATTAGTATCTCTTTGCGTTTTATCATCAACACTTTTCAATGATACTCCTCAATAGTATTTAGTATAATTTAAGGGTATTTTCTTTCTGTTTTTTGACTTGTTAGTTTTGTTGCATTTAAAATGTTGTGTTACAAACTAAATTACAACTATTTTAATATTTATATTTTAATTACGTGTATTGCACATTACGTAAAATTAAACGCAAGCCACGTTGTTAGTATGCTGTGTTCTATGTTTTTTAGTTGTTTTTATATTTTTTTTTGTGTTTTTTTTTGCTTTTTCATGTAAAGCTGTTAAAATTGGATAATATAAAAATGTATTCATTGCTTTTGTCTTACTTACAAACTTAAAAATGCGACAAAAAATATGTGAGCACAAATAATATTTTAAATATTTTTAACAAAAGTCTATAAATATGTCAAGTTTTTTTTAACAAAGTCACGTTATGCAATATTAAATATTAAAGCAAATGATAGATAAGTGAAGAGTAAAACAAATATCAAAATGGTTTACAGATATACACATACATATATGATTTTCAACACAATATTTTAATTAGATAATTTATTAAATACAATTTAAAATTACAAATTATTAGTTAAGAAACAAAATAATACGCGCTAACATCTAAAAAGGCAAATGAATCAGAGAGTATCGTAAAAATCGAGAAATCGATAAGTAATTAAAGCCAACCGAGATCCTGCTCTGTTGTTACACTAAAACAAAATGACGATTACTTGCATGTGCGCTAAGTATGTGCGTGTGCGTCTTAATCATAAGAAAAAATAAATAAGAATCAAAGATTAAAAAAGATAAAATTGAAGTGTAAAATAAAAAAAAAAATTAACAAAAAATTTAAATATAAAAAAAAATCCTAAAAGAATTGTATAAAACTAAAATCATTTTAATTAAATACTACAGAGCGAATGAGAATATAATGCGGACATGGCTACGCTGAATGCATTAAATTAATTTTTTTTTAATTTTGAAAAATTTACTTCGCGATTTGTATCTGAAATTCTTTATAGAAAATAGTTTTGAGCGTATGAATATAAACCGAAGTTATATTAATGGCTGCAGAAAACTGAAGTGCAGCAAAGAAGGGTATTTAAATTTTTTTTATCGAATGTCGAAAGTAGTCTATTTCGGAGCGACTTTGCATCAAATTTGGTTTGAGGTTATGCCATCTGCATCTTTTCCTTATTTTATGTGAGCCGAGACTAAAAAACTATGCCAATTTGCCCACTCTCCTTTGCGAAGTTACGCCCTCTTTTAATTGGTCCTTCAATTGTATTCATGGGCGCACTTGTTTTCGTTGTCTACATATATGTAATACTCCTATATTGGCAGTAAGCGCTAGTACCGTCCGAAAACACTACAGTACAGATATATCAATAAACACGTACGAAAGAAAAGGAACACACACGTTTATAAATAAACATGTACACAACACCTATACAAAAACGGCACTCAAGTACACAATACATTGACAAAAACAGTACTAGACTGTCTCGCTTTGATTTCGGAATGCTTACACATTGAGAAGTTAGCTTACTGCCAATATAGAAGTATTACATATATGGTTGTCTACCCCTGGCAGCCGAGTCGGTGGATATTTTTAACTGAGCATCATCATCCATGTTTACGATATGCGTCATCTTCGGTGTCATTTTTGCTACACAAACTTTTGTAAAGGGATGACGAAAATTTCCTGAGAAACCCAACACCTTCCATACGTTCCGAAGAACTACTTTGCACGATATCTTTTCTCATGGATTTAAAAATCGGAATATGCACTCAAAATTACTACCTTTTTGCATTTTAACCCTTTTTGAAGACTGTAGTAAAGGATTACGTTAAAATTTATACAAAAATATTTTTTTTTTTATTGTTTTTCTTTACTGCAACTTTTTTCATTCGAAATATCACCGATATCTAACGACTTATACTTTTTAAGTTTTAATTACCAAAAAAGCATTTGTTTTGTTGACATAACCTAACATTTTTTTAACATCATACATTTATTTAGTCTTGTGCCGTTTCATATGTTTTAAATTTCCTAAAATTTTATTTTCACGTGCACATAACTAAAATATAACTTGTGTTTTTCACGCATAACGAATAAACTCTACCATTTTAGACATTTTTAAAAAGTGAAATGACGAATTCTGAAAGGCCAACGAATTTGAAACACATAACAATATATAAGGAAGCTCACATAGAAAGTATACATATACTGAGGCATGCATGCTTTTTGTATATACATATATATATTTTTTTTTGTAAACATAAAATCAATTTTTTTTTTTAACCATTATTTTCCACGCCTTAAATATACAAAAAAAGTTTCTGAAAGCCGAATTCGCTATCTAAACTCAAGCTACCTTTTAAAGTTTCGACTTTTTTTGATATAACCTCAAATTTTTCGAATGCGTCGATATTTTTTACGTTTTATAGAACAGAAAAGTTTCTCTACCTGAGATACCTCAAAGTTTGAAAGCTACAACGGCATATTTTGTTTTGACCAAAGTACTAAAAACAAGTATACAGCCTGGCTAAATGCTTACTAATAGAAAAACTATATTGAAAACTTGTCATTTATAAAGTCGAAGCTCTGACAGCACATAAGGCCATGTCCAAAATACTAAAAATTTACTAAAAAAATATTTATATTAAGAAAAATAATGACTTTAAAACTTAACAAAACTGCATTGTAACTGAGAGAAAGAAAAATATGTTTACAAATTTACTATTTATTACATTTTTTTTTTTCAAAAAATTGTTTTGAATTCTGAAAATCAATAAATATATACAAAACGAAGTATTAAAATATTTTGTGACGTTCAAATATTGAAAATAAGTGTAGCCACAGCCGAACTCCCATTTCTATATATATTTGTGATTTACGATTTAATCAAACAAAAAAAAAATTACGTTTTCACACCAACACTTTTTCTAACGCATAGAAAAAAAAAACGGTGCGCAGTATAAAAATTTTCAAAATCCGATTTCTTTAATAGATATTTCTAAATCTTTTTTCTGAAAAAAAAAATATCTGTAAGAACTTTTTAATAAATCAATCTTTTTAAAAGGATTTGACTATCTTTAAATCTGCAGCACAGATACGAAAAAAGTTATAATATTAGTTAATTTATTTAGAAAATACGTATGTACAAACATGCGAACTGAACCGTTCCGTATTTTGAGATATGGGCCAATTCTTCCTGTGAAAAAAATATTAAACAAACGCGGATGTTTAAAATGCTGATGATTAAAGAAATGCTCATCCCTACATCGTCTTTACAGTAATCCAACTCATAATATTTTGCGATTTACAATTTTAAGATCACATAATTTGCAAACTACATTAAAGAAATACTAAAATTCCGAAAATGGGAGCACACCTGTTGCATATATATTTATGAAAGTATGTAGTACTTGTATATCTCATACAAATCTTAGCAGTTATGTATGTATGTGAAATTTTCGTGAATTTTAAAGTGTTTATTGAGTTTAAAGTATTCACAATTTTATTTTAGGCCAACATGAGTTCCTTATCTTTTAAATGCTAGGTATATTTTATCTGTGGCATTTTGATAAAACAATTTCTCTCCCCAACAATATTTTAACGATGAACGAGCCGTAGGTGTAGTTTAAGATGCCACGCTCTCCTAATTATTTTTAATCCAAAGTCGAACCTTCTAAGGTCACTCAAGTTGTTTTATCAAAATGACACAGATATGTATGTATTTAGTATGTGCGTACAATATCTTTTAAAAAACTATAAATAAAAAAATGATTTAGAAAATCACACAAAAAAAAATACAAGCAAGCAATCTATGTGCAATTCAAAAAAGTGTCCATTTAAGTTCATATCGACGCAGCTCGGTTATGAAACAAGCATAAATTGCATATGTATTTATGTATGTATAAAAATTATAAATATTTAAAATTTTCGCTTTTACAAAATAAATTACAAACCAAAAAATGTACATATGTATGTACGTATGTATAAAACCTAAAATTTCAAGACAATCGTCATTAGCATTAGTTTTACATACATATTTAGGTTAGTTCAATGTTAAAATGTTCAAATACATATAGTATAATAGTTTAATAAACTACATACTCGTACAATTAGACGGTGGGTAATCCCACATTTTCACTAAACTTTAGCTCTAACAGATTCTAGATTTTAGTTATTTACTTTAGTTTATTTTCATTTGTTGTGGTTGTTGTTGTTTACATAAACTCACTTTTTTGCTTTGTGGCATTTTGGTATTTCTCGCTCCTCTTTCCATTCCCGCTCCCACCATTATAATTCGTTTTTTTTTTGTCATTATAATTAACCAGCATTATCTTTCGCTTAGTTACAGCGTTTATTTTGTGTGTGTTTTCTTATTGTTGCTGTAATTTTTTTTAATCATTTGTTGTTTAGGTCTTTTTTTTCTTGTGCATTGCCACCGAAAATATTTGCATAGCGTTTGTTTTTCTACATTTCAATGATTAGCACAAAAACTTTTGCAGTGTGACTTTGTATTTACTTTCGTGTTTTTGTTGTTGTTTTTTTTTTGATTTTCTTTAAGATCTTGCAAATCGTCATATATTTCGCATTTTTATTTGCTGTTCATTTTACGCGCCTATTTCGCAGCCAACAAGAGCCGCCGTGGCCTACTACAAAGCTTGCGACAAGCCTATCGTATCCAGTACAAAGTCGAGCTCTTTGTTTGTTGTACCTTCTAGTGATTGCTGTGGTTGTTGCTGCCGTTGATGTAGTTGGTTTTGTAGTTGATACGGTTGCTGCGGCTGTTGGTATTGTGTCTGTTGTTGCTGTGGATTTATTGATAAGTTGATTGTTGCAAATGCTGTGGTGTTGTTCATAGTTGTTGCTGTTGCTGTTGCCGTTGCTGCTGCAGCTACTGCTGTTGTTGTTGTTGTTTCTGCAGTCATCGCTGTCTCCCCCAACGTTTTGGCCAACATTTCAGCCGTTGGCTTCTTCTCTTCCGCATCACTTAGTCAAAACTATGTTAACAAACGGCCACGGCTCCCTTTGCCAATCGGCCTTCCCTAGAGTGGATGTAACTTGGTCGTATGTACCGTTAAAGCGCTGCGCTGTGTAAAGCGCTTGTCACAGTAGGGGCAGGTATAAGGCTTTTCGCCAGTATGTGTGCGTATATGCTTGGTGAGGTAATCCTTGACACTGAAACGTTTCTCACAGTAGACACAGTGAAAGGGTTTCTCACCTGTAGATTTCCAGTAGAACCATAGCACAGACACACAAACAAAAGATTTGTAGAAGATACGAAGAGAAAGAAAAAGAAAAAAAACTCATGCATTAGTTATAGTGTGTGATAATAAGTTGTATATGCAGTCAGCTGCTTGGCCATGGCCAATGAATGATTTGTTGAACTACCACAGCAACGAGCGCAAAAGCTTAAGCAACAAATATTAATGCATTTTTTGTCTGCTATTCAACAAATCATGACTTTGGCTCTGTTGGCACTTGCAGATAATTTGCCAAATATTTTCAACATTGTTTTTGTAATTATTCAATAAAAAAATGCAGTACAATAGGTTTGATGAGATGGAGGGAAATGCAATATTGTTGTCATGTGGGTGGCGGCTTAGTGGCTGCAATAGGCGGGCAGAAAAAAAAGTTTTGATTATTAAGCGACTGCTTAAAAAATTATCACTTATATATGTTTGCGGCTGCTGGATGTGATCGTCGTCAGCGTCGCTATTATGATGAGCAATTAAGCGTAGTATGATTTTGTTTTTTCGCCTATTCGATTTAAACTAAAAAAGGGTCTGAAAGTGAGATTCGCAATCGCAGCGAGGCTGAATATCTGGGATTCTTGCCTTTCTACATATTTTCCTACAATATAAGACCTTTGCCAAAGCCTTCTCTAGGACATATGCGCATCGCTAGAGTAAGGCCTCACTGAAAGTTATATTCTTCATACTTGGGAGAGTTCTTTTAGAGAATGCTACAATGGCCGCCTTAGAGGTTTTGATATTACGACCCATTTTAGGGCACCAGACTTCGTTTAGTTTAGACCTCTTTGTATTATTTGACGGAGCGTATTCTCGAACTTTCTTCTGGCAATCATTACTAAGCCAATCGCATATCCTTGGCAGCTAATGCCAATATAAGAGAGGATGGGTAGAAGTTCTCCACTACCATGCTAGACAGGAGATATCAGTTTCAGTTTTGAAGCATCTTAGTTTAAATTTTCGTTTCTCTCCCATTCAAAGCCAATTAGTATACAAATAGTTATATAGGCGTACTAGTTGGAATTAAAGCAGCCTGCCTTAGAGTATTAGATCTATTTCTTTATCGATAGTCTTTTCCATTCTTTGTGCGTGATATTCAGAAAAGAATTTAAGTTCAATATAAGAAATTAATGCGGTTGACTTTAATGATTTTGAAATATGTATGCTTCAGAAATATGTGAACCATCCAGTCTCAGGTTTTAGATAAAATTCTGAAATCTACACCTTTTCCAATTGTATTTCAGAAAAGAACAAATGTATTTCAGAAAAGCTCAAATGAATTTCAGACAAGGTCAAATGAATTTCAGAAAAGAGCAAATGTACTTCAGAAAACCTCAAATGTATTTCAGATATTCCAATTGTATTTCAGAAAACCTCAATTGTTTTTCAGAAAAGCGCAAATTTGTTTCAGAAAAAGTGAAATGTATTTCAGATATTCCAATTGTATTTCAGAAAACCTCAAATGTGTTTCAGAAAACCAGAAAAGTATTTCAGAAAAGCGCAAATGTATTTCAGAAATGTGCGCGAGCACAATCTGCTGTAGCATCAGTATCCTTTGCCTGACGAATAACTTCTTCCAAATATTGCAGACGCCTTTCTATTACTCCTCGGCCATTTATCGTAGGAAGTGCCATATTACTTTTTACGGACGATTTAATTTTTGACCATATATTTTCAATCGGATTTAGCGTCGGGGAATATGGTCCTAGACGTAAAAGAGTGGCTGATCCGTTATTGCAAATATGCTCTAGTCCAGAATGGCAGGGTGCATTGTCGCATACAATGACCAAATCCGTCAAATCGTTGCCTAAAGTTCTCCACTTCTCTAAAAGTTCTTTCACCCACTCTGCAGCGCTCTCCTTTTTGAACGAGCCACGACGCGTTTCCATTGATAGCACACCTGATGTGCTTATAGCTCCGATTAGGTGAACGTTTGGTCCTCTTGATGGAGGCAACGTTAAACTTGCTCGCGTTCCAGACCGAGAGCGACCTCTTGTGCGGCGACAAAATAAATTAAAATTTGTTTGATCTATGTACACTATTTGCTTGCCTTGTTGAATAAAGGCACTCAACTTGGTTACAAATTCTGCTCGCTTTTGCTTATTATCCAGCGTATTCATCGTCGCTGGCAAATGGTGTAGCTTTTTAAGGCTAAACATTTTGCCTTCTAGATAATTTGCTGCGGTCGATGTGCAAATGTTTTTTCTTAGCTCCACTTGCACTTTTGTTACGATCTGCTTTAGTGTGATGGTACTTTCTTCTTCCACCCAACGAATTATAACGTCTACCTCATCTTCGGAAAGCTTTTTTTCGTTACCTCCACCCCTTTTATGCGTCTCTATTCTACCAGAATTTACCCAAGTATAGGCAGTTTTATATACAATTCCTAATGACGCTGCCAAACTGCACCAATCTTCACCTCTATTGGCAGCCTCAACAAATCAAATCGGTCTACGTCGTTATATACTGCATAATTCTTCTTCTCCACTACCGTGGTTTCTGCACCAAAAAAGTTACAAATATTAATACAATTGTTCGTTCGTTGGTATATATGTACAGTATCGGCCATATCTATAGCACGCCATTTCAAAGTGATATTGTGTGCCACTTATGTTTATTTATTTATTTTTAAGAATTTTCAATTAAAATTTAGTTCGTTCTCAGACAAACCCCATATATACCCAAGTTTAACAATTTGTAGAAAACTTCAAAAACGTGCAACAAAACTTCACCTAAAATTCAAACTTTTTTCTCGGAAGTGTTAGAATTTTTCTAAACATACAGTTTTATAGTCCAATCAATTTTAGTCTGATAATGAGCAAGTTTCAAGTGGCTAAAGGTTACCGTTGATTTTTTAGAATTTTTTTCGCCAAAGGTGTTGCGGGTTTCTTCCATATACAAATAAATTGAGTTTATTCATTATATGGAAGCCAATGCGGCAAAAAAAATTCTAAAAAATTAACGATAATTCGTAGCCACTTGAAATTTGCACATTATCAGACTAAAATTGCAGGGGCTAAAAAACTGTGTACTAAAACAAATTCTAACATTTCCGAGAAAAAAGTTTGAATTTTAGGTGAAGTTTTGTTGCACGTTTTTGAAGTTTTCTACAAATTGTTAAACTTGGGTATATATGGGGTTTGTCTGAGAACAAACTAAATTTTAATTGAAAATTCTTAAAAATAAATAAATAAACATAAGTGGCACACAATATCACTTTGAAATGGCGTGCTATAGATATGACCGATACTGTATGTATATGCATACCTAAAACATCTCCTCGGCATATTGGACACTTCCTCGTTTGTAAAATAGGATCACTACATTTTACGTGGAATAAATGCCTACATGGAAGCAAACGAAGAACCCGTTGCCGGCGCATGTCGACTCTGCAAATCGCACAATTGTCCTTTAACTCCATTTATGTACGTTAATAAAACCTCGCGATCAAAAATTTCCAGAATAATTATTCACTTCGTTACCGGACTAATAATAATAGCGAATGAGTTTGTTTTTTAATTTTTAGACATTTATCTACAAGCATGTTTCTTTTCTGAAATACATGAGGGTTTCTGAAATACAATTGGTTTTTTCTGAAATACATTTGCCTTTTTCTGAAATACATTTCCACTGTTCTGAAATACAATTGAGGTTTTCCGAAATACAATTGGAATATCTGAAATACAATTGAGGTTTTCTGAAATACATTTGGTCTTTTCTGAAATTGATTTGAGCTCTTCTGAAATACATTTCCACTGTTCTGAAATACAATTGAGGTTTTCCGAAATACAATTGGAATATCTGAAATACAATTGAGGTTTTCTGAAATACATTTGCTCTTTTCTGAAATTCATTTGAGCTTTTCTGAAATACAATTGCTTTTTTCTGAAATACAGTTGGAAAAGGTGTAGTGCTACTTTGACTTTAAACCCCAAAATCGAAATATTTAGATAACTTCGCCTTTAATGCCAAAGGCCTAATCTACTTTTTTTAAGATATGTGTTCGATCCGAATTTTAGGTTTTTAGCTAATGGTACTTTAAAAGAAAGCACTTCGAAAAAACATCACACTTATTTCTTACATTTTACTTAATTTTTCTATGTAGCCAAGTAGAAAACCTAACCTAAGCTTCACAGATCTATTCAGCGCTGGTAACATCAATTTTTTAGCCAATAAATAAAGTAGAAATGGGAACATTTGTTGATAAAATTTTCGATTGCAAAATGCCTTTAACCCGAAATAACTCTGAATTTGCTCATTTCAATTTTTCTTCAAGTCATAGTATTCAATTTCTTCCAAAAGATTCTCTACTCTAATCCTAATTAAAGCCTAAATAATCAGTTTTAATTTTTCATTTATATACATACGTATGTGCATATGTAAGTATGGGGAAAATGCTTCTGCTGTACGCAATAATAGCTCATCATAAAGTACTGTTTTGCTTATATTTTTAGTTTTTTCTTTAGCAATGCATATGAGCAAACGATGAGATGGAATTTATTGTTTGTCATTGCGTAAGCATTTTTTATCTAAGATAAATGAAAATAATATGCATTCCAGATATACAAAATACATATTGATTGCTTTTGAAGTAATTATTACGACATACATAAGTATGTATGTACTATATATTTTCTATTTCTGGTAATAGTATTCAGAAAAAGAATAACAAATACACTGCATTTAGCTGAGCTGAGAATAGTTTGATTTGTTTTTGCTTAATTTTGTGATTTGATTTTTAATCGGTTTTGTTGTTTGATTTTGTTTTGAGTGAAATTGATTGATTGATTGAACTGAGTTGAGCTGATTGACTGATTGATTGGTGGATTTACTGACTGATTGATTGATTTTTTCAAAATATACTATATTCTCTCACCCGTGTGAGTTGTTAAATGTTTGTTCAGGTAGTCCTTTACAGTGAATTGCCTGCCACAATATCCACATCTAAAGGGTTTCTCACCTGTATGAATGCGCGTGTGCTGTTTGAGGGTGTTCGATTGGGTGAATGACTTGCCGCAGTAGGAGCACGAGTAGGGGCGTTCTTTAGGCGTGACGCTGCGTAGGCGTAAACGAAGTTGTTTAACAGATAGAAAACAGAATAGAAATTAGTTAATTATTCATGACAATTCATTTGAGAAACAAACACTTAGATTAATAGTTAAAACTAGGGCTGTGCGATTATTCGATTACTCGAGCAAGTTGGTTAATCAATTATTCGGTTAATCAATTACTCGAGTAATCAAGATTTTGATTACTCAAAACGATAATTAATCGAGTTACTTGAAATATGATTACTCAAAAAAAATAATTTTGCTCGTTAAAAGAGTTTGCTTTGGAAAATGCTTATTTTCTTTTTTACATTCTGTATATGAAAAAAATTTTTTGTTTTTATTTTTGAAAACAGAAACGTTGTTTTCAAAGTATCAAGGAACTTTAGCTACTTTATACATATGTAAAGAGTTGAAATGTTGATTACTCATTTTACTCGAAATTTTGATTAATCATAAAGCAAATTACTCAAATATTTTTGTTTTTAGTTAATCAAAAATCTTGATTACTCGAGTAACTGAACTTTTGAGTAATCATAATTTCCAATTAATCGAATAATTGAGTTATTTACTTTATGATTAATTAAAATTTTGAGTAATCAATTAATCGCACAGCCCTAATAGACACACATTGGCTGCATTTCTTTATTCATTCTGAACGTTTGGAATAAACTTTTTTGTTTATTTATTCTTAAGAACGTTCCTGATGATATGTTGACGTATATTTCAAAAGCATTCTGTTTATTCCGGCTGTGAAATGGGATTATCCGGAATGTATAAAGAAACGCTGCCATTGAGAAGCTAAGTACGAAATTTCCGGGCATTGAAAAATAAAAATCCATTAGACTTGCTATCTGATTTTTGGTTCCGATAGATTCATATTTACATACATGTGTTTCTAAATTTTAATAGACTTATCGGATAGACGGATTAGCGAAATTTCGTACAAAGCATTCTACATAAATAACCAAATTTTAAATTATCTAAAAATATAAGATATAATATTAAAGTGCAATGATTACTCTGCTTGGCCTGTATGTATTTTACGGTGCATCGCCAATGTGCCGGGCGTCTTAAAGGTTTTCGGACATTCCGGGCATTTGTGGCGCACTTTGTTTACCAATGTCGTGGAAGCTCCGGTGCTGGCGGCTGCTGTGCCAGTCGCATTTGCCAGGGCTCCGGCTGTAGCTGATGCGGTGCTTACTACTACGCTCGTAGCACCAGCTGGCTGCTGAATGGTGTACACGGGCACTGCGGCCGGATCTATATCACCGTTGCCATCGCTAATGCCAAGCGGTTCTTCCTTGATTATCACACGTGGATGGCCCTCTGTGCTGCCATTGCTGCCTTTGTTCAATTTTACAGTTAGAGGTGGTACTTTTAATTGAGTTTGCTGCTGCTGATTTTGCTGTGCCTGTGCCGCTTGTTGTTGCGTTTGTGCATGCGATTGCGCCTGTCCGGCCTGCTGTCGTTGCTGATCAAGCAAATCTGGTTGCGGCTGCCTTTGACGATCGAGTAAATCTGGCTGCTGTTGTTGTTGCCGTTGTTGTTGTTGCTGCTGTTGTTGTTGCCGTTGTTGTTGTTGCTGCTGCTGTTGTTGCTGATGTTGTTGCTGCTGCTGGCGCTGCTGTTGCTGTTGCTGATTCTGCCTTGAGTTCAATTCTTCTGGTGGTATAGTATTCATTTCTTCAGGCGGCATCGAAGGCATCTCTTCTGGTGTTTGGGGTGGTTCAGGCTGATCCATGTACGGCGGCTGCTGAGCTGCAGTCATATTGGAGGCAGTGCATACAGAGCCACAGTGCATGCACTTGAATTCATCGCCTTCGTGCAAGGTCACTGATGAAATACCATAAATGCCACATGCCATGCAGCGCGCTAGAAAAGCCGTGGTTTGATGTACGATACGGTGGTGTTCATCTAGCTCCTGCGCCGAACCAAACTTCTCCTCACAACTCAAGCAGGGATACTCAATTTTCATAGGATCCGAGACTGGTACGTTCGGCTGTGGAACACCGCCTAGCAAGAGCCCACCGGCACCACCGATGCCACCACCGCCACCAATCATGCCAGCTGATATGCCGTGGCACAACTGCATATGCTCCTGAGCGTGTTGTGGTCGCTCAAATTGCTGACCACACATCGGACAAAAGCTTGCCGATGTAATAACGCCACCATCCATGGCCAGGTTGGGTAGGAAAGATGATTTTAATGTATCCATGGCACTGACTGCAGATGTGCCCGAGGATGACTGTGCTGTGGTCGTTGGTCGGCACAGCCGCAGTTCCTGCGCAGTAGAGGACGATTTCAACATAATTTCATGAAACAATGGCAGCGGTTCAAGCAATGCAAAAATGACCTTACAACAAAAAATAATGCGTTATAGCACAAAAGCACAATTAGAAGCGTTGAATCGTTCACAATATAGTGACGTAGGCGAGGCAAGGGCATATGTGGTCAATAAGCGCGCAACTGTATGCGAGAGCACCTAAGTATTTGTTTTCCCCCGTTTACCTACAGCAGTAGCTTGCGATTGACGCGCGGCAAAGTCTTTTTTGCGTTTAAATAAAGAGCAAAGTGTTAATTAGCGTAGACGATTTTCAACTTCAACAATGGTTTTCCAATCGTCTTTCGTTTTACAATGATTTTTTGCATTTTCAGCAATTATCTCTTTGACTCCTACTCTATATCACTGTTTCTCCCCCGTTCACGCTATCATCCTTCCACGACCTTTTTTCGTTTGCCGTTGTCTGTCGTCGCTACCTTGAATCATGGTCGCTACCAATTCCAATTTCGAAATTTCACTTTTTCTTCACTTTCGCATTTTCGGACGCAGTTTTGTCACTGCTCCGCGTTTATGCTTCTTTTATGGCGACAACTGCTGTTGCTGTCGCTGTACACTCATGAACCAACGACTACAGATCACCTAATCAGCCATCGTTGTATTTGTAATCGATTTTCAGAAAAAAGTTTTCGTAGCGTTTTTGACGTTTTTCGGGTTTGTTTACATCGTCTTCTACCTCTTCGTAGTGATTTTTTAGCGATTGAATGTGTTTTCTGCAGCGATTTTAATTATAAATTTTGGTTTATTACATATTTATGATATAAAATAAAGTGCTGTGTGGTCGGAACAAGTTTGTGCGTATGTTTGGTTTGCCAAAAGGCGTAAATTTGCGTGAAAAGTGGGTGCACGTTTGTGGCCAGAACGGTGGCATTGAAAAATCGACCCGTGGTAATGATATGCGATTGTAAAACACTTTCAATCATGAAAACCATATTTTATGAACTTTTTTTGCTAATTGTCATCAAGTTTCACTTTGTATATTTTATAATAAATACCGATTTAATCGCACTCAATCACCGCGCCTTTTTCGTTTTCTTTGTTTGTTTTCATTCTTAGGCAGATGTCAAAAACACTCAGAAATATACTTTTTTCTTGCTTCTTTGATTAGGTGATCTTGTATTTTTGGTTCATGTTTGCGACTGATGTCCCACACTTACATACAGACGGGATCGTCGAAGATTTTCCACACACTTCCTTCAAGCTATTTGATGCGCCTACAAAGTGATGAAATCGGTTTTCATCCTCCCTGCACTTCTTTTTGATATCACTTTTATGCTTTTGATTTGATTTTTGCCCTTGAGTAGCTAAAAAGCGCAAATCGCTGATGCAAATTGAATATTGAATACACCAGAAAGTGAAAATCTCTGAAAACTTTCTGGGTTCTTTTTTGGGCTGCCAAAAATAAGTATTGCCAGTCAAAAATAAGAAAATGGAGGTGCAGTAAAATGCGAGAATGTAGCCACGATCCATGGTACAATAAAAACAGGTAGAAGCCAAATTGACATCAAACCTACAAAAGTCAAAGTTTTCGGGAGAGTAAAAATAAAAATGAGCGTGTGTAAGGAAAAATAAAAAAATACATTTCACTGGTTGACGTTTTTAAGTATATTTGAAGTTTATTCTTATTTATTTATTTTCTTTAGTTAAAATTTGATAAAACGTGTATGTTGTTTTCTGTTTTTGTTTTATGAGTTGCAGTGTTGTTGGAGGGACTTTTCGGCATAAGGGTCATAGGAACAGCACTTGGCTTCAAACGTGCCTTTCCTGTACCTCCCGGTGTATTTGTGGAATCTACTTCTTTAAAATGTTTAACGCACAGCAAGGCATTTCACTGCCGCTCTGCCCACAGCTGCTTTCGCAACGTTCCTTACGCGAAGGACATTGAGGCACGTTAAATAATTAGTGGTATCTGCCTTATATTTAACACCACATAAAACACAACGCTTCAGGTGTTGCATTTTTAACACATACACTAAGTATAAACCGCACAACACTACAAAAATTTAAATGCAAATTAAAATTTGTTATTAACGAACATTCAAAAAAAAACAACGATATGACATTCAAAGCGTAACGAAATATAGGAAATAAAATAAAATCAAGTTGAAGTTTAAAGGTTTGGTTCTCATGAGAGCAACGTCATTTTGGCTTCTACCTGTATTTATGTGCCTTGGCCACGATCCAGAAAATAAAGGTCGCGCCATTCGCGGACCGCTAACCCTCTCTTCGTCGATTTGACAGCATCCACCCAATCGCTGACGTCATAAAATACTTTTGTTTACATTCACTGTTGCCAACTTGATGCTTTTCGAACCAAATTTAGTGGGTATTCAAAACGCGAAAATTTATGAGTTTTGTGCTTGGTGCGTGTTTGGTGCTTTTGTTTTTAGTTTGAAGACACCAAATTAGAAAATCTTAAAAAAATGTAAGCAAAATTTATAGCAATCGTAAGTGTGGTAAGCAATTTTACAAAAATTTAAACAAAATCATGGCACAGTGACAATCAAATATGTGACAAAGAAATATGTGGCAGCACCTTCAATCATGCCAGAAGAAATCGACCGTTGTGCAAGAAACATTGGCCCGTAGTCATAGTCAAAATAAAGTCGACTTTAAAGTTAGTTGCAGCTTTTTTGACAGATATCCCATTGAAAATTATGTCAAAAAGCTGCAACTAACTTTAAAGTCGACTTTATTTTGACTATGACTACGGGCCATTGATTTTTGAATCGGCGTCCTTACAATAAAATTATGTATTCATATAAAGTACATAAAATACATCAATACAAATTTGGTGCTTTTTCAAAGTTAAAACTTGAAACTTGGCAACACTGCCTTTTGGTCGATGTTTCCTCTTTTTCTTGTCGAGTTCGTCTTGCTCTCTCATTCTGGTATTTTTTGACGTCACGGCCAGTTGCTCCCAGCTCGATTGGCGCAATCTTGTATTCTATCATTCTTGTCTCATTCTGGTATTTTTTGACGTCACGGCCAGTTGCTCTCAGCTCGATTGGCGCAATCTTGTATTCTATCATTCTTGGAATGTAGCCTACAAAGACTCTAATTATCAAATGAAAAATCATTTGTTGGACAAAAACAGGGAAAAAAGTTTTAAATAATAAAAATAAATAAACATCAGGAAATTATACCACGATTTGTATTAACAAATAAAAAGAAAAGTTAAAAAAAGAAGTGTTGAATTATTACAAATATTTAGGCACATGTATCGCCCTGCGCGATGCACGCAGGGTTGTGTTTGTCATCTTTTTTGTATTTAGAATATGAAGGGCCCCCTTTAAGACCCTACACACGCATTGATATTTCGGCCAACCAGTTGACCAACCTACTTAACGAACAACACATGTTTAAGTTAATGCGCCTTTAAAAAATTAAATCGCATTTAGGTTGCCAACTTGTCTACATACAGAGCAACAAGTTGACCAATTTGCCTCAAAATCAAAAGTTTTTGATTTTTCTCTAACCTGACGAACAACTTAACGAAGGTTTGCCTACACACGGCTTATTTACCACCAACTTCTAGCGGCTGGCCAACTGGCACTTTTGAAAAATAATATTTCAATACATTTTTGTAAAATCCTTTCGCACGTACTTCTTTTTCTCAACTAAAATTTTCTAATTTCTATAGTTTATGCAACCGATTTATCTTACTATGGCATTGGACTTTCGCTTTAGGAATGTGTTAATGGGAAGAATTAGAAAGAATGGCACCTTTATGTTTCTATTTCACTTTTTTAATCCTCAATATGGCACTTCATAGCTATGTACAATTGGCCCTGGCTCCGATAGTGTCGATGCGAGCTGTACCTTGGGTGGAGCCCGGTTCGATTCATCAGTGTATTTTTACTTTGAAGAATCTTGAATTATCTCGTCTGGGACCAACGTAAAACTACAAGCCCCTTCATTTGTTAAAAACAAAGGCACTTACCACAAAGAAACAAGTGAACCGCTCATCATTTTCCATAGATCCGATCCATCTTTACGCTTTACATTGTGGCTAGACCCAGATTCAGCTATATTTTTAACTTTTATGATGAAGACAATGCTATGCCCTGAAATACATAGTGCCCAACCTTTTACTAGTAATCCGTTGTAGGAAGCTGCATCCAGTAGTACGGTAAAAACCAAATTTTTTCTTACTACTGTTTAGAAGGCTGTATTAGTACAAGCTGGCAATTGTTTGAAATCCGACCCCCGCCCGCCCCATAATTCGCATACAACTTTGCAATTCTTATTGAATAAACTATCACGTAATTTTTTTTTAAATTTTTGTAATTCTATTTTTATTGTAAAAACCATACGTTTGATGTTTCATGTACGTTTTATTGGAAACAGGACCTAAACACAAAAACTTGTATATTATAAAATTCATTCCAAGTATCAATGCTAGGTGTTTAACCCAAAAAATTGGTTTTTGTTCCTCAAATACTCAGTTCAGTTATGGTAGCACGAAAGTCATTCAGCAAAAGTCTGACGCATAAGCTAACTCGTCACTGTATTTGAGAAGCTTCCAATACATGAAATAAATATTTACCTTAAAATTAAAATTAAGCTCTCAACAAGCAGACACCACCAGCGCTCTTGATTTTGTCTTCAGCCTTTTTCGAAAAGTATTTGGCCTTAACAATAACGGGCTGCTTAGGCAAATGTCCACGACCCAACAATTTGTAGTAACCCTACAAGATATAAAATATGTTTAGTACAATCATCCCAAAATTCCTTATAATGTACATATAAATCATTTTAGGTTAAAATTTCTGCTTAATCTGAAAGGCTTTCGCTACATGGGGAGAGCAATTGTACGGTCGCATTCAGTCCGCCCGACGCCTTGGAATGTATCTTCATGTTTGGCAGAAATTCTACATACAATTTTTAAGGAAGAGATACTTACGAATTGCACCAAATCGATGACGGGTGCCTTGTTGCTCTTCTCTTTTTGCAGTTCAGCTAATTTATCAGCTCCAACCAGCGACCACAATTTGTCCAAATTGATTGTTGGGCAGAATTTGTGTTGGCGACGCAAGTGAAAGTTTCTCATACCAACTTTACCGAAGTAACCGGGATGGTATTTGTCGAAGTTGATGCGGTGATGGTGCATACCACCAGCGTTACCGCGACCACCAGGATGCTTGCGGTGCTTGCCAATACGACCATGTCCGTGGCTTACATGACCACGCAGCTTTCTGGTCTTCTTTCTTTTGATGTTCGACTGTAAATTAAAGAAAAAAATATTTATTTTCGAATTACACACGTGTTTGGATGTTAGTACACCACCAAGTTTACAGTGGCAGTCACAATTATTTTTTTGAGGTTAGGTCGTGTAACAACACAAAAATGTAACTTTTGCTATTCACACTACAACAACGCTTTGCACTTTGGATATTTACTTCATTGTATTTTAATATAAAGTCTCCTACGTTCAAAATTGCATCTTAATTTATGCAAAAAATGAAGCAAATTGTGACTACTAAGCACACTTCGACGTCCACTCACCATCTTGAAACTTTTCGAAAGAAAGAAGTAAACGAAGTTGGCTGCAAATGTTGGCTGTCATCTGGATCACGTCAAGAAAGTGCGCTATTCGATACATCCACTTACAAGGTTGCATTTCATAGCACTTATAAAGATAAGTGCCTCACTCAGTCGCGGTACGGTACAATATCGTACGATATACGTTGCTTAATACGCTATGAATTAGTGGCACTAAAAAAATGATTGTATTATAGTACACTGCGGCACAACAATTGTAAGTAATTATTTAGGGTACTGTTACGATTTTGAAGGCCGCCTACACAGAAAGTGGGGGTTATAATCCTTTCATCGGCGTAGCCAGAATGAAATTTAGGGGAGGCCTCGACCCTATTAAGCTCGCATTTCAGGGTACTATTTTATATATATATAAGGAAAATTTTAAAGTTAGGGGAGATCGAGCACCCCCTGCCCCTACCTGGCTACGCCCATTAATCCTTTTACAAAAAATTCAACTCCGCTATTTTCAAACAGCTCACAAGGGGTCTGTGAGGGGTACCTTTTCATAAAGCGCGTTCTATTATCTTCCTTTAGAGCAGGTTTGGCAGGCCACGCTCCCGCCCCCTCCGCCACTACCACAAAATCGTTGCACAAATAACTAAATATTTCCCATTATCTATTTTCGTACATCGTATTCAACAACAAAAAAGCCCGAAACATTTAAACCTCCTCTATTAAGCGAAAACGCTGATGCTGTGGTTCTGTAATAACATTGAAAAATTTCTTATAAATCGTTTGGCCCTCGCGCCCAGCGTAGTTTCGCTGTACCCAGGTGTGATCCCAATTTGGATCCAATCGCTCGCATGTCACATATACTCGCCCATGTTCCATGGCATACAGCGTACCATTTCGTCCAAAACCAACCTGGAGAAACATTTTATTTACTTAATCAGCTT